TAAGTTATTTCTTAATGAATGTACAAGGAACAGCATAAATATTACCATTAAGCATAGTGGATGTGAACATCCAAAGCAAGCTAGATGGCTGACTGCTTTCTTATTTTTTTGTTCTTTTGTAACAATTCCATTTCCAAAGTGCTTGATTCCTAACACTGATGCTTCAAAGCTACTGTGAACACACTGCCTGAATACTTAATGAAGTAAACAACAAACAAAATGGCTCATCTTTGGTGCCCCCAGCTAGCATCCCAAACTGGATATAATTAAAGGTGTGAATAAGCAAGCAAGGAAGTAATGAACCTGCAAAGTCAAGGTACTGAGAAATTATCGGGCACCTCGCACTGCACCAGTTCAAATTTGTCACTCATTTTCTCCTATACCAGAAAGGTGCAGATCCACATGTTGGTACCCCCCTCCGCTCTTGTCCTCCAGTTTTTTTTTTCCTTTTCATTGCTAAATAGCTAATTTAAGACAATTACTGCTTGTGACAACTCCTATCCATCCACAGATTACCTTTCTTTTACCCTTAGAAAGCCAGTGACCTTTAAAAACCCTTTACCCTAAAATACGCGGAGATTTCAAAAATACAACGATGTTCCAAACACACACACACACACCCACACACACACAAACACATAAGCGCGCACACAAACTTAACAAAGCAAAGCACAGATGCTAACACAGCCATCTTACCTCCTTTCTTACTTTTACCAATGGTAAAGACTAGGTCCAAATGCCCCCAAAGAAAAACAATCCTCCTCCCACACACACGTACACCCACACACATTTTAATTCAAACCCAACCTCTTGATTGAAAGGGCAGTTTTTAGCTCACAAATATTGTCATGATTATGTACATTTATAGTTTCTCAAGTGACAGTTAAAGAGAGGTGTTTGGTTACTAATGGAAATCTGCAGGGTCTAGATATATCTTTTTTGATGAATAGTTGAAGTTTTGTATTTTTCTAATAAGAGAACTCCTGAAGTTAACGAAAAGAAGAAGCCACTTCTTATGGGAAGCAGCCCATTTCGGTTTTCTTTCCATTTATTGACGCACATATCCTTCTAAGTAAGTGTGTGTACACATTTGGTAATACCAAATAAGGAAAGCCTAAGACAGGTACAGGAATCCAGGAACACACACTTACACTGATATACACACAGTCTCTCTCCCTCTCTTTCTCACACACACATACTTTCCATCGAATGGATGGGGGGAATGGATAGTGGGAAATAAAAGGTTGACTTTACTTTCAGAAGGGGAATTGACCAATTCTATACGACATGGCCCGTCGACTGGAAAACAGTAAAATAAAAGCTTGAAAATGTTCACTTCCCTTCCAACCCCCAAAATTCCCAATGACATTGGGGAAAAAATACTGCATTGCAGCATTTGCCAGCGCATACTTGTGTGTCTAGCATCTGCTGGCCAGCTCACCAGCAAATGTACATATTAAATGTCCAGGCATATAAATTAAGTGCCTTGTGGCCACAGATCATTGGAACTGACGAAGAAATTTGTCAAGGCCAAAGTACTTCTGTCCATGTACAATGACCTCTATCCAGACCACCATTCCTTACATGCAGTATGCACAGATAATTCGTTTCATTTTTTAAATTAAAATAAGATATTATGATGCCAAGGACTAAATGAAGCAGCATATTTCCTTATGGAAGGAATAGTATTTGGTCTACATATAGGAAGAGAATCCACCTACAATGAGGAGATAAGTGCAAATGGAAGAAATCAAACCAAAGAAAAGAACTTGCCCTGAAGGAAACCCTTTCATTGTTCATAGTAACTCTAACTTGAGAAAAACACCTCAATTCATCCAACAAATCCTCTTAGAGATACTGAAAACACACAAAGCACCATTCATGCAATGATTTCTAGATTTGAAATTTCAAATAAATTATCCCCAATAGATATCCCAGGTTTAAAATATCTGAAGTCTAATGTGTCTCAAACACTATTGCAAGACTGAGTTTAGAAGTAAAATGCAAAGGCTCATTCTCTTTCTCTTTCTTAAAAAAAATATCTATTGTTATTACTTCACAACCTTCCTCTCATAACACCCTAATATTCAAAGGACTAAGGAAAGGCTATAGGGAGAGAAAAAAGTTTTAAGGATTTGCGTGAACCATCAGACAGAAGCAAGGCCATCTATATCTGGTCAGGATGATGGCTTGAATGAATGGCAGGTAGGAATGAATGGGACTGAGATCACAAACGAATGGTTAAGTTGTTTGTTACTTTTTAAAAATGAGATATTAAATTCGTCTTGTAAATCAATGATTCTCAAAGTAATTTTTTAGCTACTTCCCTACCTGTGTTCATTTTACCCTTTCAAAAATTTAAATATTAAATGATTTAGCCATTCTATTACTATGAGATATATAGACATTCTGAGTATTAAAACTGCTATGTAGTCAGGTGTTTTTTTGCAGAAATATTTCCAATCAGTTTTTCACTTCTTAATAAATGCACACTCAACCTTGTGCTCCCATAACGGCACACCTCCACATGCAGGTAGTAGGCATTAATATTTTTAAGACAAAGAAGCTAGAAAGGTCAGCAGAAGAACCATGTGTCTTTTTACAACCCAAGCCAAGATGACACTTCTTATGCAAATTATTTTTCCCTAACTAAAAATGGTCAGAAAATTCTCAGAAAATAAAAAAATTAGAGATTTTTTAAAAAACTATTTTTTAAAGGCAACATATGTTTATGCACTCAAGAGATGAGGGCAAGCTTTAAGTGTACGGCAAAAAATATAAGTTTATTTATTTTTACCTCAAGAGTCAAAACAAAATTTTTAAATCCCCCAATAAGAAGACAAAACAAACAGATACATCTGCAAGGAAAAAAGAATGGGGGAGGGCACATGGAGATTTGCAATGGGGAGAGTAAAAATTAAAAGTACTTTCAGTAAAGCCAATTATATTTCCTAATCTTTTAATGTCTTTCAGTATTGTTTAATCTCTCCTTTTTGGACTTAAAATTAGTTACCTGAACATGTATCTATTTTTGTCCCTCAGGAGAAAACCGTAAGAGACCAACGTTTCAGTTGTTTTTACGCTACCTCCTATTCACCCAAATACTATACCTTTCAGTCCTTCTGGTAACCACCATCATGAGAAAAAGAGACTATTGGCAAAGCACACTTAGGGAGAGAAAAAGAGAGTGACACCTGTCACCTAGTACACGCATGGGTCCCAGACGTTCAGAGACACTAAAAAAAAAAAAAAAAAAAAAAAATCAGCTTTTCACTCAGTTTATGCCAAGACCAGAAAAGAATCAGGACCAAATGCCAAATGGAAGGCAGTGATTGTGAGGGTGCAGGCTTGCTGGATCCTGTGACTGGAGGCACGGAGGGAAGGGAAGCAAAAGGCTAGAATGCAGCTCTTCATTTATTATTCTGTAAAGTAATCTCTAGTTAGGATATGAAATAGAGATACAATGAACTGCCCGAACTATAGTATCAACATCTGATTTAGCAAAATTACTAATATCACCTAACACGAAATCATTGCTTAGGGTAAATCTATTCTACCTATATTTTTCCTATGAATATTTGCTGGAAATTTCTAAGAAATCATTTGCAGAACCTATCAGCTGTGAGAGTTCACTATTATGCTTCCGTCAACTTCATTCAATATAATTTACATTTTTTTCAAATGGTCTCACAGGATTCCTTGCGATTTTTCGCACGTACAATTTCACAGCAGGGAAAAGGGGGAAGGAAAAAAAAAAGCGAGATTCCCTACCCTCCCTTCCCCCTCTCCTTCTCTCTGTTTTTTAAAAAACAACAACAACAATAACAAAAAAAAAAAAAAAACCAGAGGAGACAGAACAGATGCTTAAAAATAGATTTCTAAAAATCACTGTAAACCGGAGTTAGAAATGTAATTAACACCTATTTATAAAGAATAATTAAAGTTGGGCTGGCCACAAAGAACAGCAAAGATAATCGAGGTCCTATCCCCCCCCTTTTTTTACACTGTTTGCAGTGTGTTCTCATGATAGCCACCTGCTCCCTACTCGGCTTCTCCTCTGTTCGTTTCCCCGGCAACCTTTCATTGGGTTTTCCTCCCAGCTATCGCTTTCAGTTGGGCTGCTCGGTCTAATCTTATTTGTTTTACACCCATCAAAACAAGCAGCCAGACAAAGGCAATCCTCTAAGAATGGGAAAAAGACCACAGCTTTGTTATAACATCTATGCAGAGTGAAAAGTCCTCCCCAGGCTTTTCCAGAGAAAAATAAGTAAGATGGATATGAATTTACAGCCTCCCCCCATAGCCAGCTCTGAAATCCCATGAAACCTATTGCTGGTGAAAATTCAAAGTCAAAGTGGGCACTCGTGGCATCTGATCATGCCATTTTGTGCCATATCTTCAGGGTCAACATCAGGCGACAGAAGCGGCACTCAAGGAGTTTCCCTGCTTCTTTTTTCAGAAAAAGATGATGCTAAAAATAGATTTACTACTTCGGCAGAAAGGTTTTCCACTTCCCCTTCCACATCCGAAAGTCCTGTTTCACAATTGCATCCGCTGGTACTGAATCTCACCTCCTCCACCCCTCATTCCCAGCCTTCCCCATCACTCCTAGCATGAGACTGAAAAAGAAATGTGCCTTTAACTTTAGCAGCCGTGTAATTCCGTTGAAGGCTCAGAGGCGGTGGACACGCCAGCCAACAGTGACAGTGACATCGATTGTCAAAAAAGACACCAACCTAGCTCGGCTATAATGTGTTTGATGAAAGAGGCAGTGTGTGTGCCTTGTGTGCATGCAGTGCCATTACACTTGGAGATGGATTCTGGTTTTCAGAAAAGAGAAATACTAATCAACACACACATACACACACAGAAACGATCAGCACAGTGATTTACGATGCACAGTTCACCATCCTTACACACACACACACACACACACACACACACACACACACACACACACACGGCTGGAACCTCCAAGCTGCCTTCCTCTTTTCACTTACCATCTTCAAGCCATTCCACTCCATCTGTGATCAGAAGAAGATGGACCCTCACACAGTGTGTCAAAAGCAGAAAGGAACGTTATGTAAAAGCTGACATTCCTTCTTACAGAGCTGCTGCCCAGAGAAGGAAGCAACAACTCAACACGCCAGGCACCGCTACACATACAAGCCGCCTCCTCTTTTTTATGAGGTCATGACAGGAAACTCTTTGAAATACAAGATGCAGCATTTACTGAAGCCCAAATAAATCACTCTCTTTGCCGTTTTGACTGCGCAGTCCCCCAAAACACAACTGCCCATCTTAACGTTCAGTATCCAGGAGCTGCCTCTCGAGGTTTAAATTTCCAGCACGGAAATGGAGAGATTCCTAACCCCGCTGTATCCACCCCCAGCCCCACAAATCCCAGGCACGTAGACAAACCCCTCTCCCTTACAAAAATAAAACCCCTCTTTTGCCATTATGGTCTCAAGTAATATAACCTCTTACAACAAACCAGCAATTATTCTAGCCCACCCTCCACCCCCATCTTTATGTTGAAGGGAAAACTGACAACGACCTGTGCAAAATGACAATCTATATCCCCACTGCTTTTCAATAAAAGGACCTACCCGCACTCTCTACACAAAAGAGATAGTAAATGTAGGAACCAAACAGCAGCAGAGAACTAAACTCTTGTGCAAGCATAAGACTGGTCAAGGTGTAGATGCTTTTTTTCCCTCCAGCAACACAAATAACAGATTATAAATCTAGTCATACCTACCATAACCATTCTTATTGGCAAATATTGGGTCTCGCAGAGCTTCGACTCTTCTCTTAAAATTTTCAAAGATTTCAGAATATATTTTTTAAATGACTACTATTGTTATATATATTTAAAGATCCACAAAACACAATGCGGATGATTATAAAGTAAATCAATTATTTTGGGGGGGGCAGGGGGAGAGAAAGAAAAAAAAAAAAGAAAGAAAAGGAGCAGTGAGCTGAAACCCCTGATTCTAGGATGTAGATAAGAACAACTGAACAGAGCCTTGCTGAAATTGGCTCGAAGCTTCCCCTTTTTACATCCATTTATGGGACCATCTGTCAGCAGAAGCCAGGATCTGATTGGCTGGGGAATCGAGGGGAGGCGTTGCAACATCAGGTGCTATTTAAATTAGCTACTGCCAGATTGACGATGTTAATGATTTGGTGACCTCTACAACAACAGAGACCAGATTTCTGAACTGCTTCTTGTGTCTGGTAATTAAGGCCCGGCTGAAGCAACAACAGCCATACTTGTATTTTTACCTTTTCCCTCCCCCCAGCTCAAAAGTACTGTAACAACTGCAGGTCACTGGAGGCTTGCAAATCTTAACAGTGGGAGTGTCCTCCCTTTCCCCTGTCCTGAGGGCTGAACCATCCCACCTTCTGATGGAGGGCTTTTCCAGTGTAGAATATTTTCAACCACCTTATCTTTCTCGACAGTTGCTTTCTAGTGAAATACATATTTAATGATGTGCCTCTAGGCTTAAAGATACAACAAAAGCACTTTAATGTGCTAATTCATCTACATTTTAACTTTATTATTTCTCAATATTGCTGATTTTTAGTAAGCAATGCTCCTTTTGCAGCTAACATGACCAACATATCAAAAGCATGCAAGTTGGAGATTAAGCTTGCTCTGTGAACTGGATTCATACAAGTTTGCCTCAGAAAACTATTTCTTAATAAACAAAAAAGAAAAAAGTCTGGAGGGTGGAGGGGGGCAGCTGTCAGCCTCTACCTTTCTGCCTTCTGTCTGAGCTTTTCAAAACAGAGAATGATGAATGATTTATTTAAATGAATTTATTTTTCAACTTGGATAGGGGCATGATCTGAATTTTTAAAAATCCACTAGAACACGTTCTCCCTTTGCTTTTCCTACAGCTATAGAGAAAGGTAAAACATGCTTTTTGACAACAGTCTCATTTCACAACCTGTGCAGTGTGCTCATTTTGCTTAACTAAACAAATGATTTTACTCCTTTCCTTCGAAGGGTGTTTTTTTCTTTGGCCTCTTTAAAGATTTGCAAAGAGACATTTAGCAAGTGTGTGGTGACATACATAGTTTGTCTGCCTATGTTACACATTTTATAACCTCTATGCTACCAAGCCTTCAGGAGTATTTTTTTGGTTCTGATTTGGGTTTTTTAAGTGGTTTACCTGAGAAGTTTATGCCTCACACCTATGTAAAAGGCTAACTTATCACTATTTCTTTAATTTGCAATTTAATAAATTTGTTCCTCAATAAATATACAGAGGTAACAAATATTACCAAAGACATAATTCAACGTAGTCTTTAATCTCTGGCTAGAGTTGACAGTGAGATAGAACTAGGCAGAATAGAAATATAGGCTGAAAAATATGTTACACTCCTAGGCTTTAAAGTCCAAGAATAAATGGGTTTGTAAAAAAATTATTAGAAAAGTATACAACCTTTACATTTTTAAAGATTAAAACTATTCTTTCCAAGCTACTGTTTCATGAACACACATACATATATATATACACACACACTTTAAAAAATACAGATACACCATAAAACAATATGTGTTGGGCATACTGCATGAACTATTAGACTTGAATATAAATAAATTTAGCTATTAGAAATGAAAATATGTGAAATAGAAGAGTAAAAATGTTAAAACTATAATCACTTCAAGTGGAACAATACAGAATTAAGTAAACTTTTAAAATGATTTTTTCAGCAAATGTATAAAAAGTCCTGTGAATCATAATAGTACTACAGTACTACAGTATCTGTTGAACTGTGTACTTAGGATGAATTCACAGGTTAAGTGTTCTCTAAATGGCTCAACCTATGTACAAAGGGTAGGCACATGTGCCCCAAATCAACAATAGAAACTCTGAGTGCCATCTCACCAATATTAAAATATTGTGAAAAGTAAACATTAAGACAATGCTGACAAACACACAAATAAAAACAGCCTGCTTGGAACAAAATATATACTTAGTATTTCTCTGCAGGTTATAAAAGATGGAATTTTTAAAAATCCTTTTCTCCCATCTACACTAACCTCAGCACACTTAGTGAACCATAAATTAAAATTAGGCATATAAAAAGATATTCGGGCCACTTTTCCAAAATAGTAACTGTATATTACAGTATAAATTACTAGCTGGTTTTGCTAGGCTAAAAAAAATCCATGCACTTTGTATATTGATCACTTCTCCAAAACCTCCACTCTAAAGTCTTTCAACGGAATCCTCAAACAAATGCACAAATGTCCTCAGAGGCCTTTTCTCTAAAGACAAAGGCAGAATCCTATTGTTGGGAAAAGTCAACCTTATTATCGCATTTCCAATAGTATCATTCATCTTTCAGAGTGAGGGGCTGACCGCTACATCAGTGGTGTGACATTTGTAAAGCAACAGATTCTCAATATATTATCTCAAGAATCAGGCAGGCGAGTCTCCCAGTCATGCATGATTTTTTTTTTTTTTTTTCTCTGCTACAATCCTCCACCACCACGGAAAGAAACTTGTCTCACTCAAGCAGCTAAGGCAACCTAAAAACGATATCCCAGCACTGTGGGGCTGCCAGTGCCGCTGTATCCCTCTTACCATAAATGAGCAGTTTCTTGACTCATTAATAACAATTTCCCTTAAAAGAAGTAATCTCATATCAGTCAGCCCCTCGCCACCATGCACACATCCCAAAGGTTGCAGATATCTCAGCATCAGTCGCCGGCAGCCAGCTTTCCCACACAGAGTCCAGATGGACTGTACCAGAAGCCAATTCAGCGTTAATAACTACCTACTCCGCGCAGTGGAGAAGCCTTACGTGGCACAATGGGCTAGGAAACAGCAGCCGGCTGAAACTGCAAATAAAAAAAAAGACAACCAAATTCTCCAAAAGCACGGAAAGGAAGGAACAGAAATGGAAGCGTGAATTATATTTCCTTGACTTCCATGAGAAAAAAAAAAGGACAGAAAAGAAAAGAATCCTTCATAAACATAGGAAAAAAAATGAAGGGGGTGGGGGAAAGCAGATGCTGCCCAGAAAAAAGTGACAAAATATTACCTCATTATTTAACAAAGCAGCATTAAGCGTCCTGCTGATTTCAAACATCTTGCCACAGATTTTGTTTTAAGAGAAACAGATAGAATCCTTTGCAAAGCACTCCGTCTGCAAAGGGTTCTTCAATTTTCTTGCGCGCCACGGAACAGTCAATATATTATTTCCCTAGAGTTCGCACATTAAAACCTCTAGTCAGTGAGCTGAATTTTCCCCTTATCTCACACACAGTAGACTCCTGTTATATGTACTGCTCTCTTTGCAAGAGCAGCCTGCCCCAAACATGGCTGGTGTTTAAACTACTCTTTAAAGTAACAGTTCACTATATAACCACCAGGTGGGTAGAGTGCACAGATTCAAATAAACCATCTTAAAAGGGTGGTTTTTTTTTTCCGTTGGAATAGCTTTTGGGTATAGGATGTGACTTGAGAAACCCCAGCATCCTAACAGGCAAGATTGTCTTTCACTGTATCTTGTCAAAATAAATAAATAAAATTCCTTCCCCTGACTTAAAGTGAGGAAACAGAACAAAACGCCACCAATTCTAATAAGAACTGTGAGGAATGAAACACAAACAAGCTTTGTTTCATTCAGCAAAGGATGAACAAGGAAAATATAATCAACACAGAGCAAGGGGGAAAACCAAAAGCCCAATGGAAATATTTTCCTTTAGCAAAAAGAGGAAAATACACATGTAATGAAAACCCAATTCCACAGTATGTGTATAGATGAAGCACATACAAGATGGAGGCAACTTTTATTTGAGTAGAATATTAGGTTTATTTGATGTCTTTCCTGGTAGGAAATAACCAAAAACTTAAAAGTAAAGGCACTGAAAAATAACCCCAAAGTCTTAAGCATCTCTTCTAAAAACACAATTATATGAATAGTGACAAACAACCATAAGAGCAAACCGATCACATATCTCTACCCATTGCTGTTCTTTTCCCCAAGATCTGCCTCGAAGTGGAAGATTTCTGTGTACTATGCTAGAAATATAGCTAACTTGGCGTCTCCTTTGTATCACTCTATTCCAATTAATCTGCTCCTCTGCCAAGAATAAATATAATGTCCCACGTTGAAAGCTCCAAGTGATGGAGGGAAGATGTTAAAAGAATATAGAACTACCTGAATAAAAATAAATTACATCACATCGTTATATGGTCTGATTTTAAGAAAGATCTTATTACTTATAAAGCATGCGTGCACTATTCTATGTTCCCACGTGTCTAAAACAGAAACTAACACACAGGAGATACCTGGGATTTTGTTTTCTTGGCTGGACAAAATTA